TGTTGCCCAGGCAGGTCTTGAACTGTTGGGCTCAAGCAATCCACCTACCTCAGCCTCCCAAAATGTTGGGATTACAGGCATGAGCCACTGTGCCCAGCCTACTGCAGGGTTTTTCATTGTTGCTATTTTGTTTTGTTTTGGGATGGAGTCTTGCTCTGTTGCCCAGGCTGGAGTGCAGTGGCACGATCTCGGCTCACTGCAACCTCCAACTCTGAGTTCAAGCAACTCTCCTGCCTCAGCCTCCCAAATAGCTGGACTCTGTCTCAAAAAACAAACAAACAAAAAGAACGGGGCTGGGCGTGGTGGCTCACGCCTGTAATCACAACACTTTCAGAAGCTGAGGCAGATGGATCACTTGAGATCAGGAGTTCAAAACCAGCCTGGCCAACATGGCAAAACCCCATCTCTACTAAAAATGCAAAAAATTAGCTGGGTGTGGTGGTGTGCGCCTGTAATCCCAGCTACTCGGGAGGCTGAGGCAGGAGAATCACTTGAACCTGGGAGGCGGAGGTTGCAGTGAGCCAAGATCGTGCCGCTGGACTCCACTCCAAAAAAAAAAAGAACAGAAGCCAGGAGTCTGGCAAGGAAACTTCTTGGAAAGAGGGAGGTGGTCGTTGAGCCCGGGTGGGTCCATGGGGGTGATGAGAGGTGCTCAGCTGGGAATGTGCTTGGCAGAAGGAGTTGCCAGGGCTGACTGAGGGACTAGAGGCGGGTGTGCAGCAAAGAGAGGAGTCAGGCCGACTCCTGCCACTGCGAGGCTGCGCGGCTGCGGGGTTCTGGCCTGCACCAGTGGGAGGCTTGTGGGCCGGGCAGTGAGTCCTGGAGGCAGAGCGCCTGGTGCCCTGCAGATACTCGGAGCAGGGGTGGGGACCAGGAGGTTGTGATGGGAGGAGGGCTGCACGGAGCGAAAGGCTTGTCCTGTGGAGGGTGGGTCAGGGAGCCGGGAGGCCCAGTGCGGGGTGTGGGGTCGGACGGTGACAGGCACCCGCATTCCACAGAGGAGCAGCGGCAGCACCCTGGCCTGAAGAGCAAAGTGCAGACGGTGCTGGTGCGCATGGGCGGCCTCTTCGTGCTGCTGCTGACTGTGGGCCGCTGGCTGGACCTGCTGGGCATCCTCATCTCCCTGCTGGGCGAGCTCTGGTGTCTGGTCGGCATCCGCACCCTGCTTGACCTCTGCCAGATACAGGTGGGCACCCCCATCCAACGTGTCCCGCAGACAATCCCTGCTTCAGACAGCCCAGGTGCCTCAAGAGGCTCAAGTTTAAGAAGAGCCAGCTGGGCAC